TCTCCCTCCCTCCCTCTCTCTCTTTCCATCTCTCTCTCTCCATTCTCTCTCCATCTCTCTCTCCATTCTCTATCTCCATCTCTCTCTCCATCTCTCTCTCTCTCCATCTCTCTCTCCCCCCCTCTCCATTCTCTCTCCATCTCTCTCCCTCTCCATATCTCTCTCTCTCTTTCTCTCTCTCTCTGTCCATCTCTCTCCCTCTCCATCTCTCTCTCTCTCCATCTCTCTCTCTCTCTCTCTCTCTCTCTCTCTCTCTCTCTCTCTCTCCATCTCTCTCTCTCTCCATCTCTCTCTCCCTCCCTCTCTCTTTCTCTCTCTGGACTAAGCTATGTTTTTAATGTGCAAATTAAGTTGTTCAAGAACATAGGGGAAGGGAAGCGACATGCTAGCTCAAACCGAAGGATTTGTGACCAAGAAAACACCTGGGGGCAGACCAAGAAAATGCACATGACCAATGTCAGCCTCATAAAACATCCTTGTAAAATGTTCCAGCCACATTTTTACCCTCACAAAAAGTCTATAAAAGCAATTCATCTCCGCAAGCAAAGCAGCTGAATCACCATTATCTTTTATGCAGCTTTTAACTCTTAAGACCCCTCCGTGTATACATTCATTTATCTTCGTGTGAAACTGGACTGTTCAAACTGAGGCAAAAAGGGAATTATATTTCGCTTGGATCTTATGCTGATCAGCCTCGAGTTTCCTCCCTCCCCCGCCCCCCTCCAAAAAAAGAAGGAATAAGATCTGCCTGAGCTAATCAAATTATTTTAATCCTTTGTGCCATTAGCAGCCATTGTGCTTCAGTTACAAGTTCTCCAGAAAAGCTCTCTCCTTGCTAATCGGCCGGACGACTGATTTCTGCTAACGAGGTGGCTGCAGTTTTTCCATCTGACATACTAAACGGTTCTAGGAGATTCCCTTAGGACTAAGAAAAAGGATGTCAGGAGATTAAGAAATATATTGGGAGGGAAGGGTGATCTTGGTGGACCCAACAGTCTGGGTCCTCATTTTAGCTACCTCCGAAGGATGGAAGGCTGAGTCAACTGTGAGCCCCATCTGATTGAACTGCTGGCAGTGGGCAGAATTAGCCTGCAATGCTGCATTCTAACCACTGCATCACCAGTGCTTAGATAGCGATAGCACTTAGACTTATATATTGCTTCACAATGCTTTACAGCCCTCTCTAAGCGGCTTACGGAGTCAGCCTTTTGCCCCTCCAACAATCTGGGTCCTTATTTTACCAACCTCAGAAGGATGGAAGGCTGAGTCAATCATGAGCCAGTCAGGATCGAACTGCCGAACTGCTGGTAGTCAGAAGTAGAAGTAGCTTGCAATACTGAATTCTAACCACTGTGCCACCCCGGTTCTTAGGACCATTTCTTTAAAAAATATAATCTTCTTTCTAGGCTAAATACATCGCAGATCCCTTAGTCTTTTCGTGTATCAAATTTATTGAATTTCCCAAATACTGTCCAGTTTGTTGAAATAACACACACGTCCACATGTACAGTAGTGGCCAAAATGGTGGAAATCTTTTGGGAAAAGTATATTTTTGAGGTTTGATGGCTAATAACTCCACTTTTTTTGGGAGTAGTACCATAAAATTATATGTGGAAAGATAATTTAATCAAGAATGTAATACAACAAGGTTTGTTCAATTATCTGTCCTGTATTCTATGAAAAGTCATAGCCAAATAACCAGAAAAAGGAAGCACAACTTGCTTAGGTTGATATCAGGTAGCTTTCCTTCATCTGATTGTAGCCAATGAGTGTGAGTGTTTAGAGAGCCAATCGGGTGTCATCTTGTTTTGGCCATGAGCCAATCAGATCACAGTAGGATTCAGTGATTGATGTCATGTATTGAAGCTGAGAGGAGGACATTTGTCAGTGTGTTATGTGATGGCTATCAAGTTGGTTGGGTTTTTGTGTTCTTTCATTTAGTGAGCTTGTAAAACGTAATAAAATTAAAGCAATGGTGCAAAGAGTTGACGGGTTGCCCAGAAAGCGATGTAAAATAGTATTATGAAGTGAACAAGGCTACAGTTATAAAGAAATTAGAAGAAAAATGGGTGGAAACTTAACCAAAGGTGGCATTTCTACTGTACACTTTTCCGAAAAGGTTTCCACCATTTTGGCCACTGCTGTATATACATCCATACCTATAATTTCAGATTACACTTGGTAATATAATACAAGACAAGTTCATTATGGAGACTTACAGTCCCTGGTCGTGGATAAGGAATTCTTCCTTGATAGGGAATCAGTTGATGGTTGGGTCCTTCCTTGTGGGCAAACGGTCCGTTGAACACTCGCTGAATGTCGGATAAGTGATAGACGCAAACTGCCGAGCCTTTAAATACTGAACTAGGGAAAGGAAGGAAAACACTAAATAAACCAGAGGCATTCATTCTGTTTTCTTACTTGTCTTCCAAAGACTGCCATCTCCAAATCATTACGGCCTGCTTAAAAATAATAGGTTGCTCTTTCTAGATCAGGGGCAGGCAACCTTGGCTCTTTTATGACTCGTGGACTTCAACTCCCAGAATTCCTGAGCCAGCATGGCTCAGCTGGGAAACCTCTCCCTTTCCCCTCAGCGTGGCTGCCTCAGGGATTCTGGGAGTTGAAATCCACAAGTCACAAAGCAGCCTAGGCCTAGGCCAGACGTAGGCAACTTTGGCTCTTTTATGACTCGTGGACTTCAACTCCCAGAATTCCTGAGCCAGCCATGCTGAGGGGAAAGGGAGAAGTTTCCAAGCTGAGCCAGGCTGGCTCAGGAATTCTGGGAGTTGAAGTCCATGAGTCATAAAGCGGCCTAGGCCTAGGCCAGACGTAGGCAACCTTGGCATTTTTATGACTCGTGGACTTCAACTCCCAGAATTCCTGAGCCAGCCATGCTGAGGGGAAAGGGAGAGGTTTCCAAGCTGAGCCATGCTGGTTCAGGAATTCTGAGAGTTGAAGTCCACGAGTCATGAAGGGGCCATAGTTCCCCCATGCTAGCTCAGGAATTCTGGGAGTTGAAGTCCACAAGTGATAAAAGAGCCAACGTTGCCTACTCTTGTTCTAGAGTCATTCAATGGATATTTGACTGATTGGATTTAACGATTTAGTCTGCAACAGTTTAGCGACCGTTCAGACGGCATTGAAAAAGAGCGACTTGTGACTGTTAACATCCATTGCCACATTCCCCAGAGTCATGTGATCGAAATCCTGAGGCATGGCCACCCAAATGTATTGAGAAAAATACGCAGTGGCAACTGCTGCAGCTTTTCCCAACTCAAGAGATAGCTTTGAACTTAAGGACTAAGATCTCTGAGCTTGTGGCTGTTTTCTTGCAGATGTTTCATTACCCAAACTAAGCAACATTGTCAGCGCTGATGATGCTACCTAGTTTGGGTAATGAAATGTCTGCAAGAAAACAATCAAGTTCAGAGGTCACCGAGGACACCAAAGTCCTCTGATTCCTCCTTCCCCCTTCTAGCACTGATGATGTTACCTAGTTCGGTAATGAAATGTCTGCAAGAAGAGCACCAAGCTCAGAGAGAACCAATGACCCTATAGTCCTTGTCTTCCTCCTCCTCCTCCTCCTCCTCTCCTCCTCCTCTTCCTCTTCCTCCTCCTCCTCCCTTCCAGCACTGATTATGTTACCTAGTTTGGTAATGAAATGTCTGCAAGAAGAGCACCAAGCTCAGAGAGCACCAAAGACCCTACAGTACTTCTTCTTCTCCTCCTCCTCTTTCTTTTCCTCCTCCTCCTCCTCCTCCCTTCTAGCACTGATGATGTTATCTAGTTGGGTAATGAAACATCTACAAAAAAACAACCAAGCTCAGAGAGCACCAAGGACCCCTCATTTCAACCTTGTGCTACAAATATTTTCCTTTGTCTGGTTTTGCCCTTAAAATTAATTCATTCAGAAATGTATTCAGAAATATGTTATTCCAATAAATGGACGAGAATTCTATGCGGTAACATGTTCCTGAGATGGAATCAAAGATATGACTGCCAAATGAAATCCATTACATTCCCTACTACAAATTATGCTGGCACATCAATTTCAGAGTTAAAATATGTATTAAAATATATCTGCGGGTTTGTGGCAAAAAAAAAACCTGAATCTGAATCAACCTTGTAGAGGCAGAATAAAAGGTCTGCAGGATTTCTGCATTTCTTTACCCAGCTTCTACGGTTGCAACCCATCTCCCACCCCAACACATGAATTAATCAAACCAAATTCCAAATTAAACATGTGTGGTCAGAAAAATAATATTTCTCCATCTTGACTGTTAAAATCCTTTATGGCTCTTCATGGAGCACAAGAGAGAAGCTCAATTATTCCAATGAATTTTTAATAATAATAATAATAATAATAATAATAATAATAATAATAATAACAACCACCACCACAACAACAATAATAATAGCATCTGGTTGACTGTGCAATGATCCATAATAATAATAATAAAGAACTGAAGAAGATAACAAAATACAAAGACCTACAAATAGAAATAGGAAGACTGTGGCAAAAGCAAGCAAGGGTAGTACCAATAGTCATAGGCTCCTTGGGTGCAATCCCAAAACAACTGGAACACCATTTGAACACCATTGGCATTGACAAATTTGCCATTAGTCAATTGCAAAAGGCGGCCTTACTAGGAACTGCTTCCATCCTGCGACGATATCTGTAATAACATCAAACATCCACATCTGCCTATCCCAGGTCCTTGATAAGGACTCGATAGGTAGACAAAATGCCAAATCCAATCTGAACATCTGGCTGACTGTGCGATGATCCATAATAATAATAATTGTTTGGAGAGAATGGATATTATCCATTCATTATGGCAAAGGACACAACAGCAAGAGAAACAGGCATATTCAGAACATGAAGGCCTGAATACAGTGAGGACAAGAATAATCAAAGCTTCAGGGCAGTGATGGGTGACCGTGACTCATCTCCATGATGTTATGTTGGTGGGGCTTTCTTATGTGAGGCCACCAAATTTTGGGAGCAAGCCAGTGATGGGATTCAAATATGTGAACAACCGGTTCTCTGTGTGGATGCCGCTTCTGGAAGTTCATTCTAGGCCTGGGCAACAAAATAACTAGTTACTGGTTCTGCCGAAGTGGTGCAAACAGGCTGAATCCCACCACTGGAGCAAACCAAAGAGTAAATTGACTCTTGGTTTGAGCAGAGAAGGAGGAGGAGGAGGAGGAGGAGGAGGAGGAGGAGGAGGAGGAGGAGGAGGAGGAGGAGGAGGAGGAGGAAAAAGAAGGAAATAGCTCTTGGTCTGCAGAAAGGAAAGGAGCAAGCAGGAAAAGTGAACGCATATCCTGCAGGGTATGGAGGAATTTTTAGCAACTTGCTTTTTTGTGACTGGCCCATTTTCTAAATTTGTAGCAGCTGAAAGGAGAGGAGGCTATTCCCCAAATTGTGGTTTAAAAAGTGCCAAGTTTGCAACTGAGTGTGCCATTTGAACAGAAACGCTTCATAACTGTAGAATTAAACAGGAAAGTTTAACCGTAAATGTGCAAGAAAAGTTTCAAGCAGCCTATTATTAACTTGCTCAAGAAAGGGAGAGGAGGAGGAGGAGGAGGAGGAGGAGGAGGAGGAGGAGGAGGAGGAGGAGGAGGAGGAGGAGGAGGAGAAGAGAAGAGAAGAGAAGAGAAGAAAGAAGAAGAAGAAGGAGAAGAAGAAGAAGAAGAAGAAGAAGAAAGAAGAAGAAGAAGAAGAAGAAGAAGAAGAAGAAGAAGAAGAAGAAGAAGAAGAAGAAGAAGAAGAAGAAGAAGAAGAAGAAGAAGAATACATTATACATTAGAATGGTATACATTAGAAAAATTGCTATGGATGTCCTTGAAAAATAGCAGTGAGGTGGAAGCAGATGGTTCATTCTTTTTTTAAAAAGCTATCAAAATGGTTACTATTTTTTCCCCTTAGTATTTGCAGAGAGTTTTTTTTTTTCCCCTGTGTAAGAAAATAACTACAGTACTACCAGTATATAGCATAGGAAAGCAGTAGTATCCCAAACACTAAATATTTTTTTCCCAAATTCAAACAGAATTTTTAAAGTGACACAAACATGGTGAGCAATAGTAAAAAAAAAAAAAAAAAGTGCAGTCATGCAGTCTTTTCAGACAGAAATCTTTTTAGAAACATATAATGCATTGTTTTAATATCATTTGTATAGACTTTGGCCACCTAATGAGAAGGAAGGACTCACTGGAGAAGAACAAAATAGACCAGAGAAAACATGCAATCAATGCTTTTAAGAAAGACTCTGAAAAAATTCAAGATTGAGACTATTACTTTTTTGTGTGTTCTCTGTGTTTTCTTTCTTTCTTTTTTTTCCTAACTTTCCTTTTGCTGTGTCTCCTTTCAATATTAAAGCTCGTTTTCCCTTTGAAAAATGTCCTTGCAAAACGTTTCACAAAAATTCCAGTATTTTCTTAAGTATTACTCCAGTCCACATCAGATTCAAAGCACATGTTTGTACAAAGTGCTTCTAAGAGTGTACCCCCCCATTTTGTGGGTTTCCCCCCCACCTTTATATAATGTGGTTTTGTGTGCCTGGCTCATTAAAATGCACACTTAATATGGATTTATCTATTTGCGAAGTGCGTCCCAGAAATTTGTGGAAAATGAAGTTGCTTACATATAACTTTATTTCCGTGTGTGAAAACTCCAGGAAGTGTAAACATTACAATGTTAATCCCAAAAATTATACATATTTCTTCTACATCTGCAAGAAACACTAATCAATATCTCATAGTTTTTGGTAATGCCATCTTTGATGAGGAGATGCAGATGTTATTATATATTTAAAAAAAATCACTGCCAAATAATCATGGCGTAGCATGGTAATTTAATTTCTGGCAATATTGCAAACAATTGCCTTTAATATTATACTTAAATACCTTCCTGAGAATATTCTATAGATCTAAGAACATCAGGTCTAAGAACATTTAAGAACATCCTGTAAAACACCACACAACATGCTTAGAGATACATCTTAATAGGAATCACGTCACTGTATAATAATGCCTTTCGCACTCATGAAAATCTTATTTTAAGGTTTTTCTGAAAATAGATAGGGAAGATTACCTGGAAGTGGTGAAAATGCCATATATACGTGTTGTTCTGGGGTTCTCTGTTTCTAGTAGAAAAACATCCTCTGTAGGGATTAAAAAAAAGTTGCTAATTGAACCAACACATACAATTTTGTGGTTTCTAGATCTTTGCCTTCTTTTATTTATTTTTTAAATGAGTCCCAGACAAATTTATCCCTAGAAATTGAAACAGTCAGAAATGCAAGCGATAAAAGTAAGCACAGACTTAAAGGAAAGGTCAGACTCTTGTGAACATAATATTATAAAATAGATCATGAAATCTAAAAGGATAAGGTTTCATAAGGGACAGGTATTTGTTTCACCTATCCATGGAAAGAAAATTGCATTGTAATATGCTGTCTTAAATTATATATAATGACATTTATATGGCTTGTATAGCATTAACTAATTGAAACAGAATATTCACATTAACAGAAATATTCCTTATCTCAAAGATCCAAGTGCAGTCTATAGCTAAACAATTCTAAATATATATTAAAAAAATAAAATAAACCTTGAAATTATTCATCCACAATTAGGACCCAGATATTAGATTGAATTAGACATGTTATCACTATCATAAGTTGCACAAAACCCGTTTTCCAGTTGTGATAATTCTGCATTTGCATCCATAACCTCTCAAGATGAACGGGCCTATTCAATGTGAAACTGCTTTTGCAATCTGTTTACTCATTCAATCTGTGGCCTTGGTGTCTATGGGTGACCTCATGGGCACCAGTATAACAGAGTTGGAAGGGAAACTTGGAGGTCTTCTAGTCCAACCCCCTGCTTAGGCAGGAAACCCTATACCATTTCGGACAAATGGCTGTCCAGTCTCTTCTTAAAATCTTCCAGTGTTGGAGCCTTCACAGCTTCTGGAGGCAGGTTGTTCCATTGGCTAATTGTTCTCACTGTCAGGAAGTTTCTCCTTAGTTCTAGGTTGCTTCTCTCTTTGGTTAGTTTCCATCCGTTGCGTCTTGTCCTGCCTTCAGGCACTTTGGAGAATAGCTTGACTCCCTCTTCTTTGTGGCAACACATAAGAATCCCTATTCTTGTGGATAATAATAATAAGAATCCCTAAAGATCATCAAATATTTGGACTAACTCCATTTGAGATATCATGATCTTTGGTGATTCTAGACTAAGAAGAATTCAAAGGGTTGCTGGCATCCTCCCCGGAGTAAGACCAGAGCAAGTAAAATACCAATGACCTCATCAGGGATTGCAGACAATGAGATCATGTGTGATACCCCACCAGGGACCTCAAACCTCTCTTTATTATAACCTAAGGGTGGTGTGTAACCAGCTCACCAGCTCATACTGCACCAAAATAATGGAGACAAGAAAAGATAGTCCAGGAACAACTGAGTTGAAGCAGAACATCTTGTAAACTGTTAGATGGATCCAGCTAATTTTCTTATGTTTTGCATTTCCACTGGTGCATAAGAAAATGCCTGGGGAACTGGCTTTGCTAAGAAAGTTTTATATAAATATATGTAAGTATACAGACCTCTGCATTATCGAATTTAGACGATCTCATGGTTGCAAGTTGGAAGGTGGGCATTTTCCCTATTGCAAGCCAGCTAGCAGGCTTCCTCTACTCCCGACAAACTGAGTTTCATAAACAATGTAATTGCACAGAAGCCCATGTTCCCATACCCTTTCTATGATGCCCCAAGATGTGCTCCAATGCTCGCAAATATTTCCAGATACAGAAACCATGCAGATAAATTTTATGTCCCAAAGATGCTTTTCTTCTGGAGGCAACTGGACTTTCTTGTTTCATCCAAGAAGCTTCTTCAGCTCTGACTGGATGGTGGGGAATGGCAGGATTTATACTCCTTGCAGAGAACTGGTCATTTGCCTTCTTTTAGAGAGTCGTTGAGGCCCCTTGGAGCTTTACCTGTGTCCTCAGGGTCACCTGAGTGGTGCAAATGTGTGTGGAGCCTTCTTGGCTGCCGGATTTTTTCCGCCCTGTGTCCCTATATAAACCTCCAAGAGGCCTCAATGACTCTTCAAAAGAATGCAAATGACCAGCTGTTTGCAAGGAGTATAAATACCGTAAATGCCGGCGTACAAGGCGACCCGGCGTATAAGATGACCCCCGTCTTTATAGCCGGGCCGCATTCCTAGAACGTTGTCTTATACGCCGGAAACTACCAGTATTTCCGGTGTATAAGACGATTCGGCGTATAAGACGACCCCCGTCTTTGGCGCCGATTTCAGCGCTCGCGGAAGTCGCCTTATACGCCGGCATTTACGGTACTTCCATTCCCCTCCATCCAGTCAGAGCTGAAGAAGCTTCTTGGATGAGAAGCGAAACGCCTTCAAAAAAAACAAGGCAGTCTAGTTGCCTCGTGAAAAAGCACCTTTGGGATATCCATGACCTGGATGACTAAGACTCTCCATAGACATAAATTTCATGCTTATTATTTTTTAAAGGATGCTAACCCTATACTCCCCTATAAGGTAGCCCAATATTTATGCAACTGCACAATTTTTTAAAGTACAGGTAGTCTTCAACTTATGACCACAGTTGAGACATTTGTTAAGTGAGTGTTGCCTCATTTTGTGACCTTGCTTTGCCACAGTTGTTCAGTGAATCATTGCAGCTGTGTTAGTAACACCGTTGTTAAATGTTGCAAAAGGTGACTACAAAACCACATATCAGTTGCCAAGCATCTGAATTTTGATCATGGGGATGCTGCAAGTGTCATAGGCATCCCCATGATCAAAATTGGTCATTTTTTTCAGTGACGTTGTAACTTTGAATGGTTGAAAGTTAAATACTACCTGTAGATAAACTGATTTATTATCCTATGATTATTTTTCCCCTTCCCTAATGAATGAATGAATGAACGAACCTTTATTATCAAAGTATAACATGTATACAATGAGA